GTGCCGTGTGGATACAACAGGATCAATCGATCCTTAGCATGCTAATATCATCCATGGCGGAGGAGGTACTGTACTTAGCTATTGGCCATTCCACGTCGCGGGGAGTCTAGGTGGCTATCGAAACAACACTGGGCTCTTCTTCTCGAAACCGGTCGCTCAGTTTACTCACGCAGCTCCAAGGCCTCCGGCAAGGCGACTCGACTCCAGCTGCATATCTAGGCAAGGCACAGGTATTGGTGGAGCAACTCGCCCAGGCAGGTCGCCCAGTGGGGCTTGACGAACAAAACTTCCATGTCTTCCGCGGGCTTCGACCGGAATATCGGAGTCTCGTAGCCTCCCTCACGACGAAAACAGCTCCACTGAAAATTCCAGAAGTGGCCGACCTCCTCTCGACGCATCAATACTTGTTTCCGGAGGAGGCGCCACCACCGGCGGCAATGGTTGCTCAACACAACCCGACTTCTAGGAATGGCAGCCGCGGCCCGCGGCAGAGGTCGCAATAACAATAGAGGTTGCGGTCATGGTGGCCAGGGTGGTCGAGGAGGTATTCTTTTCCAGCTTTGTGACGTGCCCGGACATACGGCGCTGACGTGCTACAGCTTCGTGGACCCTACCAGCCAGTGGCCGGTCCAGTAACATTCCGGCCAGCGCACGGGTTCAGCACCGCAAGCTCACATGGCTGCTCAACAGCCCCAAGAGGATTTCAACAGTGCACCCATTTCCAACGTGTGGTATTCGGACACTGGAGCGAATGCACACGCAACGCCGAATGGAGCCGCTTTATACAATGTTGAACAGTACACCCCGGAAGACACACTACGAGTGGGCGATGACTCAGGTCTGTCCATACTGAACGCAGGTTCATCTTAAAGGTCCAAGCAACGGGGGGATGTAGTCACTCATTATGTCCACTCCAGTCGCGTTACTGTCAGCCAAAGCTTCCCCTAAAGTGTGGCATAATTGCCTTGGGCACCCGCATAGTTAAGTCCTACGTCAAGTTCCATCTAATTGTCCAGTTAGTGGTTCTGTCAATTCCGTTAATAATGTATGTTCTTCGTATCAGATGGGTAAGTCTGCGCGCTTCCAACTCACGCGAATTGAAAATTCTAGTGAGTCTGTACTCTATCTTATTTTCACGGATATTTGGGGGCCTTCCCTGGTCCCGTCCATAGATGGGTATAAGTATTTCGTTATTTTTGTTGACGATTTTTCACGTTTCGTTTGGTACTACCCTATGAAATATAAATCGTACATTTATGCTATATTTGCCAAATTCCGTACGTTCGTAGAAAAACACTTTTCCACTCCCATTAAATGTATCCAGTCTGACATGGGCAGGGAATATCGCAAACTTCACACGGTATTTACCGCCACTGGTATTCTACACCGTCAGTCTGCGCCACACACAAACGAGCAAAATGGCCGAGTAGAACGCAAACACCGACACATAGTTAAAACCGGGCTAACTCTTTTAGCCTAGAGTCATGTTCCAAAACAATACTGGTCTTATGCGTTTGAGTCGGCGGTTCACTTGATCAATCGCCTCTCGTCTACTATTACCCAAAATGATAGCCCATTCTCTAAATTATTCCATAAGACTCCGTCCGAACTACGGTCTGTTACGTGTCTTCAATTGTGAATGCTTCCCGTGTTTATGCCCGTATAATAAACACAAAATGGACTATCGTTCCAAATCTTGTGTTTTTCTTGGGTACCCCAACTCTTTTCTTGGCTACAAGTGTTTGGACAGAGAAACATGCCGCATCTATATTGCAAGGCATGTGCATTTCAATGAGCAGGTGTTTCCTTTCCAATACATTCAGCAAGACTGCACCGCCTCCGCAACATAACCCACACTGCCTTGGGCATGTGCAAAAGTTCATCATCCATCACCGGCAAGTCCACCTGCACCATCACCACCACCACCTCTGGTCCTTAGCCAATCTTGCCTACCGCCGCCGCCTAGCACTCGATCGGAGAATCTGCCAACCTCTTCCTCGGCAGCACATGCGGCATCTTCATCTTTCCAACCCACCACCTCGTCGATGACAACAACCAGACGACGACGCGTAAGGCCGAACATCCGGACTCATGTCATGCAACTCTGGACAACAACACATGCACGTCAGCATACTCAGAGTCAACAACCGACTGCAATGGTGGCTTTGGTGGACGATAATGAGCCAACCTGTCACATGCCAGCTATTAAATTGCCACATTGGCGCACAGCTATAGACACCGAGTTTAATGCATTATTGCAAAATGAGACTTGGCGTTTAATACATGCACGAACTAACATGAACATAATAAGGTGTACATGGGTTTTCCATGTTAAGCGCAAGTCCGATGGCACTATCGAGCGCTACAAGGCCCGTCTCGTGGCCAAGGGGTTTAACTAAGTACCAGGTGAAGACTATTTTGAGACATACAGTCCAGTGGTCAAACTGACTACTGTTCGTCTTCTATTGGCATATGCTGTGTCAAATAAATGGTTTATGCGTCAGCTAGACGTCCACAACGCCTTTTTAAACGGGCACATTAACGAGGATATATATATATGCGACAGCCACTCTGCTATGCAAATCCTAACTACCTAGACTATGTGTGTAAACTCCAATGTTCGTTATACGGCCTCAAACAGGACCCTCGCGCATGGTTCAAGAGATTACATGACTTCCTACTGCAGGTCGGGTTCCGACCGTCAAAAACGGATATTTCTCTGTTCATTTTTTATTTAGGACAAGTGCGAGCGTATGTCCTAGTCTACGTCGATGACATTCTGTTACTAGGCAACGACCACGACATGATCAATACTGTGCTGACTCAACTGTCCATGATGTTTCACATTAGGGATCTTGGTACGCCAAGGTTTTTTCTCGGGATCGAGGCGGCATATAAAAATGATGTCGTAATGTTATCACAACAGCGGTATATGACGGAGTAACTACGGCGGGCCGGCATGGAGTTCTGCAAGCCACTAATGACTCCGATGTCTCTTAACACCTCAGGTGCTGCTACTCAGTCCCCGTTACTGGATGATCCCACGCCGTACCGGCGTCGCGTCGGGTCCTTTATGTACCTTCTCATTACTAGGCCATATTTGTCTTTTGCAGTAAATCAGAGGATCATTGGGTGGCGCTGAAACGAGTGCTTCACTATGTGCAAGGCACGCGGGACCTAGGTCTTCGCCTCACTGCCACATCCTCGCTGGTTGTGCACGTTTTCTCCGACTCTGACTGGGCCTGGTGCTCGCTTGATAGGAAGTCTACAGCAGGTTACGCGGTGTTCTTTGGCCCCAATCTTGTGTCCTGGGTCTCGAGGAAACAACGCACTGTGGCCTGGTCCTCCACTGAAGCTGAATATAAGGCCCTAGCTGATGCTGCAGTAGAAGTCACATAGATTCAGTCTCTCTTGCGTGAGCTCGGCTTGCATCCGCCAACTGTGCCGGTCCTCTGGTGTGATAACTTGGGGGCGACTTGTCTTTGTGCTAACCTGGTATTTCACGCAAGGACTAAACACGTCGAAGTGGATTACCATTTCGTCCGAGATAAAGTGGCGACCGGGGGATTGAAAGTGAATTTTGTGTCCACCCATGATGAACTAGCGGACATATTTACGAAGGCGCTCTCCTCGTCTCGCTTTGGTGACCTTAGGTTCAAGCTGGGCGTGGTCCCGTGTCCCACGTCAGCTTGAGGGGGAGTATTAGACTGTTAAATAGTTGTGGTGTGTTAGAGTTTTTCTTGGGTTGTTTCATATTCCTTAGTTAGCTTTCTAGTATCATTCTGTGTATAAATATTGTGCAGGCTTCATGAATAAACGCATCCAGAACTTTGAACACTTCATTGTTGTCCTTGTGTTATAAATGCATTTACAATACAGATTCCTCTAAAGAAAAAAAATATCTGCCTAAAATACTTTAGTTGGATTTCAACACTTATAGACTTTTTAATTACCTAGTTGTAACAAATAAATTTTTTTTATTTTTAAGTCTTTAAAAATAGAATTGATTTTTATGCATATTAGCCATATTTCTATTTGATCCTTCTTTTTAAGCGTTAGTGTTATTTCTTTACTTGTAATTTGAGTATATTTTTAGTGTTTTTAGTTTTTCTGAGTGTGCTGATCAATTATACTTGTAATTTAAGTATACTTTTATGCAGAGAGTTATTGTTAGTTATAGCAATATTTTTTAATAAAGTGCTACTGTTCTGTGTATTTTGATAAAGTGCTACTTTTCTATATTATTTTTTAAAACAGATTGTAATTAAAATTCTAAAAACATAATATAACACTTGTCTAAAAGTAATAAAGAACATATATAAGACATTGTCCCAAAACTTCAATGATCTCGTAACAGGCTGCATTTACACTGCAGCCTGACACTATGTCTGGAACTTGAGGGCTATTGTTGGGGTCTACAAGGCTTCAATGATCTGTCATTTCTTGCTTTATGTCTGAGTTGTGTATTGTCCTAGTTGAAGCACCTGCAATTGTTAGTAAAAAAAAAAAACAAAATAGTAGTTAAACAGTGATAAAAAGCATATATTCCAGGCTACATAAGACATTGGTCAAAAACACCAATAATTTCTTAACAGGCTACATATAATATTTGTAAACATAGCCTGGAAATAAAAACAGTGTTTGTTCACGCATTCACCAAGTCCACAAATCATGTTCAAATATGCTTAAATGATTCTTTTTCTTTTCTGGTTAGAAAATGTCCATCTAGGGCCATAATGCAACAATATCCTCATCATTGTAAATTTTCATAACAGCAAAACCAAAGCCATAATTCTGCTTCTTTTCTTTCTTGATTGTAATCTTGAAAACCATTGACTTTCCAATCATTGCTTCCACTTCTGTATGAACATCAACATCTTCCTAAATAACAGAAAAAATGTACATAAATTAGCAGTCTGTTAGTTCTAAGTATCAATAGTAAACAACACTTAATATATTTGTATACTTTATATGTTTGTATTTTGACAGCAATGAATCTGTTGTGATGCCAATAAGTTCTGAACACTCCCTATCCCACAACAGGAAGGGAGCGTCACTTGTTGCATCTACGACCCTAACAATGACCCTGTATCTGGCTGCACCATGTTGCCAGTTCTGTTGGCACGCACTACAATATAGTTATCCATTGGATGTATTAAGCTTCCTATTACATCCACTGGTTTTACATGAAATGTAATACCATTCACCCCGGCATTCAATCCCAGAAATCATGGCAGCAACAAAGAAATCGCCACCCTGCTACCATATTTGCATAGTGCATAATAAGTTTACTTATAGTCAATAATAAGATTAGAAGTATATAAATATATGTAAATAGTAAATAAATGTACCTCAGTTTGCTTATACAACTCTGAAATTGTAGTCATGACCACAAGCATTTTTGAAGAGTTTGTTTTCGCAGAGTTTGTTTTCTCACAAAGTTTCGTTGGTGAAGAACACTACCGGATTAGTGCATATTTATACTATTTTTTTTGAGTAGCAACTGTGACTCTCCATTAATGCTTCGTTATTAATTTCATTAGAATATGAACAATTTTCAAGGGTCATTTCAAAAGTGGGGCTAACATATTCTCAAATTAGTATTTGGAAAAGCTTACTATATTAGTATTATTACATTCTGATTACATTGTACATTATATATATGTCGGTTCATTGATACATAATTCATACTGTTGTGCGGATTCTAAGGATTATTTGAACAAATGTTAAAACAATTAATACACATGGAAAGTCACAATGTTTATTGAATACATGTGTACGTTATTTGCTTTCTATATATCTTGTATTGAATCAATGTTATTATATTACACATATGGAAAGACACAAGAACAGTAATGAAAAGGCTCAAAAATCTGATGATTAAAAGTAGTTGAAACGACGCCACCATTAATACACATATGGAAAGACGCAATAGTAGTAATCAAAATGATTCATAAATCTGATTATTAAAAGCAGCTGAACGACGCAGTTAGATTTAGGCGGGAAAATGATGTGGCAAAAACATTTTGCTATTATATAGAGTAAGATAAGATAAGATAAGATGGTTCATGGGCTATTATATTATATAAGAATATAAGTCTTTACTTTAGGGAAATTGGGCCAACAAACCAATTAAATAAACTACAAAGAATATGCTAGGGATTTATTTATTGTGAAGGAAATTGGGCTTTTAAATAAATACATATAGACTAGGAATTATTCATTTGAAGAATTTAGGCTACTAGAAATAATAAATCCCTTACAAGAATAGTTACGAGATATAACTTCCGAAATGAAAAATACGCGGTGTCACAAGTACATTGTCTCCAAATTGGCGGTCAAAGTACCTGCTAAGTCCTTGTACTATAGCATTTTGTTCAATTTAGTCTGTACATTAATTTTGTTTAATTTAATCCTTGTACTTTAAGATTTAGGACAATTAAGGACAATACTTAACGCTATTAACTTTTTCTGTTAAGTTTGTCCACGTGGCATTGGATTTGCCATGTCAGATTGTGTGATGTGGCATAAAATAATGTAGTTTGGACCAAAAGGATGTAAAAAACTCGAACCTAGAATCTCTAGTTTAAAAGATGAGCTCTCCACCACTAAATTACACACAACACTTATTTAAAGTTAGTTAAAATTATATAATATTAGTTATCCTTGTGAAGTACTAAAGAATAAAAAAGGAAAAGGCCTTCACTGATTCACAGATGGCTCCTCTTTCGCTCTTCGTATTTCTCTGGTTTCGGAATTACAATGTAAGCACATAAACCATAAATTCATGGATTCAAGAAGAAGAAGCAAGAATGATACAATTGAAGAAACAACTCAAGGTATGTCTCCACCATTTAATTCTTTAACTTCAAATTACGTTTTGACATCACATGATCGGATTATAGAAGTAAAATTCTCCAGTTACTTTTATCCCAATTCTTGAACCAAACTCTGAAAATTCTGATTAGATGCAATATGGCGATCGGCGATCTACGAACTGTAATCTCTTGCTCTAAATCCAAATTTCTCATATGCTAGTTGCGATCCTATCAGCTTTGAAAACATGGATTCTCAAATCTATTAAGCTATATATATGATGTCTGTTTGTGATTTTATTTATTGTTTTATCATTTATGAAATAAAATCTGAATTGTTTCACTGTATCTGTTGCAGTAGAGAGATTAGTTTTAAATCTATTTTTATTTTCTTTGCGTTTTTTATATGCTTGATTTAGAATAGTTATATTTATCAAACTCAAGTTAGAGTTATAATATTTCAGGAACTGAAACTTTGAAAAAAAAAACAGTATTTGCTTTCATCATGGAGGAATATTGGTTCAAGCTGTAGAATATTTAAATGGAAAAATGAATGTATTTGAAGATGCTGATGTTGATGTTGATACAATCTGTTCTTGGACTTTAGTAGAAATGGTAGTGAATTTAGGGTATAAGTTAGATGAGATTAAAAGTATATATTATGGAGAACTGGAGTCCACGATGGAGTTTGAAATTTTTATTTGATGATGAGAGTGTTCATGGTATGTGTGTATTATTGGAGAAGTCTGGAAATCTTTCATGGTATGACTTTACTTGTACATTTTTTGTGCTTGTAGGGTTTGTTACGTTCTATAAGTGATTTGTTACCATTTGTTGAACAAAGAATGTGTGCTAGACATATTTATGCTAGATGGGGTAAAAGGTTTAGAGGAGATGAATTAAAATTTCAGTTTTGGTATGTGCAAGATCTCCCAACAAACCTGAATTTGAGAAAAATATGACTACTTTGAGACTAATAGACGAGGAAGCACATGATTATTTGAAAGAACAGTGAGATCCAATTCATTGGTGTCAAGCATTTTTTTTTCTGACTTCTCAAAATGTGATGTAATTGATAATAACATGTGTGAGACATTAAATGGGGTGATTTTAGAGGCTAGGTGTAAGCCAATAATTTCTATGTTAGAAGAGATTAGAGTTTACATTATGAGAAAATTAGTTAAAAATAGGGAGTATGGGAGAAACTGGAAGGCTGATTATGCACCTAGACAACTTCAAAAATTAGAGAAAAATAGAAAATTGGCAGCAGTTTGGGAAGTTGATTGGAATGGGGGAGATCATCATGAAGTTTCTTGGGAGAATGTTGAGGCACAAACAAGGGAAAGTCACTCTGTGAATATAAAAGAAATAAGTTGTAGTTGTAGAGGATGGGATATAAGTGGAGTTCCCTGTCAATATGCAATCTCAGCAATTATGTATGAGGGTCAAGATCCAACAAAGTATTTAGATAATTACTTTAAGAAGGATGTTTATCTAAAGGCATACCATCACATGTTTCATCAAGTAAAAGGGCCAATGTTTTGGCCTAAAAGAAATGTAGAAGAAATTTTGCCACCTTATGTTAAAAACGTGTTTGGCAGACCATAAAAGGAAAGAAGAAGGGAATAATTAGAGGGTAGTAAAAAGGTTAAAATGTCTAGGATCGGAAGAAAAATGAAGTGTAACATATGCCGATAGGACATAATAGGCTAAGATGTCCAAAAGTGGTAGATCTTTACTAACAAAGGCCTAATATTCAGGTACTACTATTACATTTCTTCATTCACTATGTTTTTTTTTTTTTTTTTTTTTTTTTTTTTTTTTTTTTTTTTTTTTTTTACTAATATAACTTGTATTATTATGTGTTTAGAAAAAAAAAATGAAGACTGATGCAAGTAGACAGACAAGGCCTGAGTCATCTCACCCTACTCCAATTCCATGCCAAACTAGTTCATATCAACCTTCACAAAATGTAAATATGTAGGCAAAAGCTGATTCATTGCACCTTACTCAAGCTAGTTCATCTCATCATACACAAAATGCAACAAGCAGACATTCAAAAAAAATTTCAGTTGTTAATGTAAGCAAAAAAGTTTTGTCTTATATATATTTTTTACAATACTAATTCCCTTTTTATTTACCACATAGAACTAATTTTTTCTTTCATAAAACTAGGCAGGAAAATATAATAAATACGTAGTTGCAACATCTAATACTGAACAATACATTTCACTTGGTCAACTACAGGTGAGTGACAATTTTAATTTTCCAACCAAAGTAAATGTGCTCATAAGTTTTTATAACTTAACATTTTCTTTGCTTGTGATATAGGAAATACAACGTGAAAAAGCTAAGGACAAACTACAATCTTCAATTCTTGCAAGAGATTCTACACCGTTTCCAAACCAAGAAAACATCAATTACGCATTGGATTCATGAATTATTTTTTTATTATTGTGTATTAGTGTTTAATACGATTTGGGTACATGTGTTTTTAGACAATCAAAAATTTGGTGGCTTGTTTAAAATTAGTACATTGTGATGTTATTTAAGATGTTATGTGATGAATGAATATTTGTCTTACTATTTAAGATGTTATGTTCTCAACACCTTGTCAAACAGTCATTTTTAGCCCATAAATTGTGTAAAAGTTCATGATTTTATTTATTTATTTATTTTGCTTTCTAGTGCAAAAATTTATGCGTTTTGCTGGACAGCTTGGTGGTGGAGAACTTGGTGCCCACGTGTAAACAAATTACTATTATTACAAATTTTAACTATTATGTAACAAGATTAATGTGTAGCTTGGTGGTGGAGCCTTCATTCTCTAGCCAGGTTGTGGGTTTGAAACTTACTCCTTTTTAGTTCGAAAAATATATTATTTTATGTCACATCACACAATCTAACATGGCAAATCCAACGCCACGTGGACAAATTTAATGGAAAAAGTTAACGGCGTTAAGTATTGTCCTTAATTGTTCTAAATCTTAAAGCACATGGATTAAATTGAACAAAATTAAGGTACATGGACTAAATTGAACAAAATACTACAATACAGGGACCTAACAGGTACTTTGACCCAAATTGGCACACCAAGAATATCATTGCCTAATGCATTGCCTAAGCTTTTTGGTGGTTGGTCTATCATGTTAAAGCCCGGGAGATAGACTGATTCCAATTTAGCTAACTGGTCCGCTGCTACATTTTGTTCTCGCATCACGTGATTAACTTGCCATTCTTCGAACCAGCTCAATTCTATCATGCATGTAAGTGCAATGTTATCCACTGGATTAAAAAGCAGCCTTCCTTGAACTACCGCGTTGACCACCTCCTTTGAATTTGATTCAAAGATAGCATACTTGAATCCACATTGCCTTGCCTGTTGGATTCCTTTGAGAAGGCCCCATGCTTCTGCTTCTTCAAATGAATATGCTCCGTCTAAATTTACTTTTACCCAGCCCTCTGGCGGTTTTTTCCACTTGATCGGCTTCTAAGAGGAATCCATGCATAGATTCCCTGGCATTTTGGCCTTTGAGAAAGCTCTGTTAATTTCAGCAAATTGCAAGTTGATCCACTGAATCTTATACCCCATTGATCTAACTTGGTGATTGAAGATTTCTTCGTTCCGCCACTTCCACAGCCACCATAGGTTGATGATTATTCATGTTACCACCAGAAATACCTTGATCAAACCATTGGGTGAAAGGGAGATTATTTAAGCACGATTGATTATACTGCTGAGAGGCTGTCCAAACTCCTACCGCCTTAGGGCATTTCCTTAAAATATGATCGGTATCCTCTTTATTTTCGTTGCAAAGCCAGCACTTAGCATAAACTGTAAAACCTCTCTTAACTCTGTTGAGGTTAGACATGATTTTGTCTTGCCTAACCAGCCACAGGAAAGAGCATATCCTATTCGGGACCTTCAATTTCCAAATACTGCTCCCATGGTTTCAGTAGGCGCTAGGCGCTAGTCGGGCGCCCGGAAAACGCCTAGCGCCTAGGCGGTCTAGGCGGCGCCTAGGCGGAATCTAGGCGGGCGCCAAAAAAACAGTGGTAGACTTGCAGTTTGACAATTTTAATGAGGTTGTTTTCAACATTTAATCAAATAACACATACAAATAAATGAATTAATGATAATTCATAAGTCATAACATCAAAACAATGATTTTCAAAAAAAAAAAACATTAAAACAATATTAAAAATTAAAAGTACTCAAATATGAAATACTCAAATACTTCAATCATCCAAAGATTCAAAGTATCAAACTAGTCTACGAGTGTATATATGTCATATTATATATATGTATGTGCGCGCGTGCACACACACATATATATAATAAAAAAAATAAGCCGAGCCGATCAGGATAACTCGACCGAAATGAACGAGTTAACTCGACTAACTTAGACGCTAGGCGGCCAAATTGGCCGAGTTAGGCGTTAGGCGCCCGCCTAGGGGGAAATCGGCACGGTCTAGAGGCGCCTAGACCGATTTTTACAACCCTGACTGCTCCATAACAGAGAATATGTTCGACGCAACCTTTCCCCTACAGAATCCGCCGCATCTGCGTCCTGATGAATGGTTACAGACCTTAGCTTGGTGATGGCATTGTTAGAAAGTAATCCATGCAAGTTACTCCATTTCCAGATCCCTGCTCGATCCTAGTAGTCACTGACTGATGCAAAAAGATCTTCATCGGGTATGTGATTAATCGTTTCTTCCTTCAAGGGATGATTCCCAATCCACCAATCAAGCCAAAAAAGGGTAGACTCACCATTTTTAACACCTTTCACCAAAATGTAAGAGTTTTCAACTATGCCCTTCCAAGCAGAAGACATACCCTGCTTAGCCTTCCAAGTTGTAAGGTCGTTATTGTTGGCGTGATATTTAGCCTTCATCGGTTTAACCCAGAGGCTGTCATCATCATTCATAAACCTCCATCCTAGTTTAGTAAGGAAGGCTCTATTCATTTGTTCAAGCCTACGAATTCCCATTCCCCCCAACTGTTTGGGCATAGTTACGGTGGACCAGTTAACCAAGTTACACCGCTTCTCTCCTTGTTTGAATCCCCACAGGAAGTTACGTGGAATCAACTCCAGTTTAGAGGTTACTCCTTTAGGGATGAGCATAGTCTGCATTGTGTAAGATGGGACCGCCGAGAGGACCGACTGAACCAGAGTTTGTCTGCCAGCCAAAGAGAGGGTACGAGATTTCCACCATGCAAGCCTATTCTAGACTCTCTCCATAGTGTTTGCGAAAGAATCCTGCTTTATACGTCCATGAATGGAAGGCACCCCCAGGTATTTACCTAGATCTTCTGATTTCTGCATGCTTGCTATGGCTAAGATTTCTCGTTGCATGTCCAGGGGGGTATTCTTGGAGAAGTATATAGATGATTTCTGCGTATTAACTCTACCAAATATATTTACTAATCATAAAAGAATGACTAAGTCACATATACCTTCACCAACTTGGATCCAATATTGATATAAGTCACAAAATATCAATATTTTCGTCTTACTACGAAGAACTTGAATCCACTTTGACCCGACCCAAATCGAAAGTGGACCCCAATTATATTTGTACCACAAAATAGTCACTTACAATGTCATTTTTATACTGTTTTTCCAAGAGTTGTTTAGTAGAACTGTAAAAGTCTCATGAAATTATTAAAGAATTACACGGTAATTTTCACGATACCCATCATGAAGAAATAACCCAACAAATAAATGAATTTTGTTAACAAATAAAAAATTATGAAATCCACATCAAAAATTTAGAAACTTTAAGATATAGGGGGCGTTTGGTTATTGGCTGATTAGCCAAATTTTAGCTGATTTGACCAAGTTTGGTTGTTTGACCCACCAATAAACTGTTTTGAAGTGTTTGGTAAATGGCTGATTGGGCCAATAAGTCAAAAGTTGAAAAGCTAATGGATATAGCATTTTTGATCAGTTGGTTGGAATCAATGATATATTGACTATTTTATCCTTTGGAATCAATGACATTTGCTTTTAAATGGGTGGTGGGTTTGCTATTTTATAATAATAATAATAATAATAATAATAATAATAATAATAATAATAATAATAAAACAACGGGGGGTGGGTTTGTCATTTAATAATAATAATAATAATAATAATAATAATAATAATAATAATAATAATAATAATAATAATAATAAAAAATGGGTGGTGGGTTTATACATTTGACAACAACAACAACAACAACAACAACAACAACAACAACAACAACAACAACAACAATAATAATAATAATAATAATAATAATAATAATAATAATAATAATAATAATAATTATTATTATTATTATTATTATTATTATTATTATTATTATTATTATTATTACAGTAAATCATTTTAAATTATTATAATTGAAAATAATTAATAAAAGTTGATTTAGAATATAATTTAATAAGAGTTAAATAAACAAAAATAATTAACTTATTATATCCTTAAAAAAGTATAGATAATACCCCAATTTTATAATTATTTTATTTATTTATCAATAATAGTTTATCATCTTGTTATATTTAAAGGTTAAAATAACACAATATACTCATACCTTTAAATGCCATTTGACATTCAATGAGCTACTAGTAAACAACTAATTTACTAAACAATTTTTTCTAACCAGCTAATACAACCAATTGGTTAAACCATCTAATATAATCAGCCATCAACTAGTTAAACCAATCAGCTATCGCCCGTTTGCCAAACACCCGCATAGAGTTTTAATGTAACATATTTATTTACTTAATTTATTATTTTCAAAAAATTTATATACTCCTACGAATTGAACCTTCCACACCCTAATATATACCCCTACGAATTGAGCCTTCCACACCCAAACTAAAAGGATAAAAATAAGATAAGTGATACTAGTAGCGAAGACACTCAAAATGATGATAGTAGAAGAAAAAAAAAACAGAAAATAATAAAAAAGATTTAAAATTAATAGGATATATAGAAGGATTAATAGATGAAGAAGAAGATGACTCATAAATAGTTAAGGAAAATGATCAAAATCACAAAGTATTAAGAAAAATGAAATTGTTAAATGCAATAATAGATGAAGAATCAACAAGTGATATAGAAGAAGAATTTGATAGAAATAATATAGAAACAGAAGTTCAAAAAAAGGATATAATTAATGAAGATCCAAACTTGGAATTAATCATTTATTGATTCATTTTTTTTTAAAGCAATTATTTATTGCTTCATAGATCTTATAAAGTATTTAAATTCAGATTGTTATTCTATTGGTATATATATGGTCGGCTTAAGGTCCACGCTCTTACCTGATCTGATTATCTTTGCATCCAATTGTATTTTTTTTTTGGGAAGGGGTGGGAGGGGTAGCCCTACTAGTCTAGTGCTTGGCGATCCAACACATAACTCTCATCATCCATGCTCAACATAACACTGACTTCCCTAGGAGGGCACCGGAAGTCCACCCACTCACATTGTCGTCGCGGAGCAATCTTTGCCAACCAGTCTGCAACACCATTATTCTCACGGGGGATAAAATCTATAATGACTGACCAATCCTTTTACAGCAATTCCTTACACCATTTGACAAGAGTATCGCAATGGCCCAGAATATCGAGTGCCCAATTAGGTTTTGGCAGTGTTTTGCCTGTTGGATGTGGGTATTTATGGCAATTCTTAGTTTCTAATGTTTTAATTTGTTGGAATTTGGGATTTTGAATTCACACCCTATCACCTAAGTTTAATTCAATTTATGGGATTTAATTTATTTAATTTGATGAACTGTGAAGTTTGATTCTATTCCTCCATAGACATGTATATATATATATATATATATATATATATATATATATATATATATATATGTACTTTATTTCTGATTTGTGTTTATGGTAAATTTTCTCACGGTTTATCAGGAATCACTGGACTTTGATGATGAATTTATTATAGTTTGAGTTTTGAATCTATTCATAGGATTGTAAAATGTGGTAGGAGTGTGTTTGGACTTTATAATGAATAGTTTTTTTCCCACCTCAACTAGGACTTAGTTGACTATAATAATAAGTTTAAATAGACACATGTAAAGAAATTTGGATATGTTTGAAATTCCGATAAGGTCCATGTAAATGAGTTCCAAGCAGTGTGTGGTATTGATCATATTTTGAGGGGTATGAGCTGCTCTAGTTTGTTTTCCAGCTTGACATGCACTGCATACTCCGGCTGTTTCTACCTTGATGTTTGGTAGACCTCTTACACCCTCAATCTTGATTAGCTTTTCCAGTGAGCGATAATTTAAGTGACCCATTTTTTGATGCCATAATTTTGATTCTTTTATGCTGGACCTGTAACAAAAGGAATCGTTAGTAAGTATATAGCAATTATCAGAAGAGCGTTTACCTTCCATGACGCAGTTCTTTTGATAGTCTGTAACATTGCAACTGTCCTTGGTGAAGCAGACTTTCCATTCCTGGTCACACAATTGGCTTATGCTTATAAGATTTGCATGAAGGCCTTCCACCAGAAGAACTTGTTTTAGTCTGGGTAGCCCTGTGACATTTAGAGTACCAATTCCAGTGATCTTTCCCTTAACTCCGTCGCCGAAAGTCACTTCTCCTGTACTTCATTTTATATTGTTTAGGAACTTAGCATCTCCCGTCATATGACGTGAACACCCACTGTCAAAGTACCATCTTTGGTTCGGAGAGCACTTGTTGAGTGAAAGATTTTTTTGTTGCTAAATGTATGTTACGGCCTAAATGAGAGTGGAAGGAGACATGGCAGACGAAATCACTTTTCTTCACCCAAATTTGCTTAACAAACGGGGTGATAGATTTTTTGGTGTATTTCTCAACACGTTGGTCTTTGTAGAAGTAGAAGCACTCTGATTTCGTATGTCCACGTACCCTGCAGTAATGACATATAGGATTATAAAATCTAATCTTAGTTGTCTTTTTACTTGGAGCAAATTTGACTTGACGTTGAGCTGTACTAGTTTCTGGACTATCTTGATCTGCTCCAGTGCCTGAGTCCAGGCCTGAGGCTTTGACAAAAACTGTAACAGCTTTGTCCTTTCCTCCAGAATATCCTAACCCATACTTCGTGGGTGTCTTTCGACCAGAATCCAAAATTTGGTCTAAAGTGGATGTGTTGTCCATCATTTTGATCTTGCGTTTGAGTTGCTCCAGTTCATTTTTGAGATCTTCCAGCTCATGTTTGAGAGTTTCTTCTTGCTTGTGACTGTCTTCAATGATACTGTCCCTGTAAGATATTTTAGATAGATACACCTTTTTGGCATTTTCTATAATGTTAACCTGACTAGACAGAGATCTATTCACTTTTACAAGTATTTCCCATTTTGCATACAATTTTCTATATTCTACTTCAAATGAAGGCGCAGGTAAATCTTGATCTTCTGATGACACATACTCTTCAATTTTAGATTCTTCACCAGTTATTGAGTCAGGTACAGTAGTTGTGAGGGCCGTGAAGGCAACAAAGTTCCCAGAGATCTCATCTGGATCAGATCCTGGATCAGTTTCTGGTTCATCATCATCACTCCAGGTAAGGACGACTTTCATCGACTTCTTCCGTCTTAGGTAGGTTGGACATTCAGCTTGCACATGACCATATCCTTCACATTCATAACATTTGATCCCTTTGCCTCCGGTTTTTTCTTTGGATTGAGAGTTTCTTGATGTGCCTGATCGTTGGTTGGACGAGTTTGATTTTTGATTGTTTCGAATAGCACTCGACCCTGATCCTTTTTTACTTTGAAACTTGCCAAATTTTCCAGTTTGTCGTTGTTTTACCTGTTGCAACAGTTAAGAAAACTACTGGATCGTCACTTACCTCATCTGGATCAGAAACAGCTCCAGCGTCTTTGACAGTGAAAGCTACGGTTTTTCCTTTTGTTTCAGGGCCGCCTAAAATTTCCATCTCATAGGTTTGTAGGCTTCCCATCAATTGTTGTACCGTTTTCTTTTCCCATCCATCGTGCTCCTGAATAGCTGTAACTTTCATGCGAAACTTGGGAGGGAGTGAGCGAAGAATCTTTTTGACAAGTCTTTCTTGAGTGATTGGCTCGCCTAAGATGCTTGCCCTATTGGCTAGTTCTTGTACCCGAGCATGAAAATCCACTATAGTTTCATCATCTTTCATCTTTAGATCTTCAAAGTCTGTTTGAACCATTTGTACTTTGGATTGTTTAACCGATGCGGTTCCTTCATAGGTAGTTTCTAAGGCATCCCAATCTTCTTTAGCTGAATCACACCCTGCAACAATGGTAAACTGACTCTCATGCATTAAAGAAAAAATAGTATCTAACGCTTTATGATTGCAGCTTGCGGTGGTCATCTCAGTCTTTGTCCATTCTGCCTCTGGTTTGAGGACTGGAGGATCTCCTGTATTGTCTCCATATTTGGTAGGATGAGACCAACCAGTAAGAACAGCCCTCAAGACCCTCTCTCCTTGAGCTCGTAGATGCATTTTGGTGCGGGCCTTCCAGTACGCATAGTTGTCACCTGTTAATTCAGGAGGTGCTCTATGTCGTTCCATGCTGTAAGACTCAATGCACAGTGAGCAACAAATAAACCAGATAAACAAAAAAACAGACAGATGCTGAGATCTTAAGTTCAAAAAACACGTGATCGCCAGATCGGTTAGACTAGTAATTTAAGTCCCCGGGCTCTGATACCAATTGAAAAAGCACGTGAGTCTTGAATGCAAGATCTAGCTTAAGAATTTAATTTTATTTCAATTATAATGCTGGACTAGATGCAATCCTACTCCAGATATAATAAAGAACATAAAATAGATAACAGTAAAAGAAAGCATGCACTAGAAAATGTTCACGCAGTTCGGAGCCTCACTCCTACGTCTGCAGGGCCACTCACATCAACCCAAATCCACTATGATAAAAGGGAGTACAAGAGGAGAGTTAATTACACACTAAAGTATAACCTATAACTACTCCAGAGCCTACTCCAGTGGATCCGAATTGCAGGAGATCTTCATTTCTTCATGAACTGGTTAAGGACCTTTCTTCACACTCAGCAATACGAAATATCTTTGGAATAAATAACCAAGGAATTTCAGAGTAAAATCATGTGAAAGAGTGTGTAAAACAATGCTAAACAAAGTAGCATTTTATATAGGTAGTAAAGAGATCTTTGATCCACAAATCAAGCACTCTTTCCATCATTGATTTCGGCTGCTCCAGTAGATTTAGATCTCCTCTTTGATAGGGTTTTGACTGAAAAAAAGGATTTGAAGAAGCTTCATTCCTCCTGGATTACTTTCTTGCGCTGATCCAGTCAACTACTCCAAACGTTGTGACTAATCCAGCAACTAATCCAGATCTACTTTGACAACTAATCTAAGCCAATATTAAGAGGTTTAGACGTGCAATATTTTCACACTTACAATGTTAACTATGAAGCTCAAAATTTTGGATATGTTTATTTCTTATGGAGGATGGTGAGGAAAATTCTCCCTACTACATTTTTGCTTCTTGGAAGTGGATGACATTTGCCTTATCTGTTGGGCTGAGGAAGAAACACTAGAGCACATCTTTAACTTTAATATATAACTGCATCTATATATGCACACAAAGCATGGGAATAAACAAGATTGTCGCCTCTTCCCCAACAACAGTTTATTGTGATTTCTTGGGTGGAGGATCTGCTGCAGAATGGGAATGGAAGTCATGTGAGTGAGGTGGTGGCAGTACTGCATGGAATTTGGATGGGAACAATTTTTACCAACTCCCCATGCGATTGTAGTGAGAGCCAGACGAGACTTAGGGTGTGTATGGTTTGAAGCAATCGGGTAGAATGTAGTATAACCGCTTTAATGAATTCCTCCTGAAGGTAGGATATGTAATTGATGAGATTTGTCCATGCATCTTTATTAAGAAATCATCATATGGATTCTACATTATATCCATTTATGTCGATGGCATTAATATTGTTGGGACACACAAGGATCTTATGGAAGCTTCTTCATGTTTTAAAATGAATTTTGAAATGAAAGACTTTGGTGAAAACCAAGTTTTCCTCGACGATCGAGCATCTCCCTAAAAGAATTTTTGTATACCAATCCAACTACATAAGCAAACTATTTGAGAGATTCTATATGGATAAATAACATCCACTCAACACTCCAATGGTGGTTCGATCCCTAGAAGTGGATAAGGACACATGTAGGCCTAAGGAGGACAATGAGGATATTATAGGACCTGAAGTTCCTTACTTGAGTGCTATTAGGGATCTACTCTATCTTGCCAATACCACTATGGTAGATATTGCCTTTTTAGTGAATTTACTAGCTAGGTTTAGTGCATCTCCAACTAGAAAGCATTGGAATGGAGTAAAGCTTATACTCAGATATCTCCAAGGTACAAAAGATCTTGCCTTCTATTTTGAGAAAAATCAGGATATTACATTGGTGGGGTTATTCAGATATTGGCTACAAGTTTGATCCCCATAATGCCAAATCTCAGACTGGCTATGTTTTTCTTTGTGGAGGCACAACTATTTCGTGGAGATATGTTAAACAGACCCTAGTTGTTACCTCATCAAATCACTCAGAGATTATTGCTCTATATGAGGCTTTATGAGATCGAGTATGTATGGTTGAGGTCGCTAATACATCATATCAATAGCTCGTGTAGTATAGAGAGCAAAGATGATATTCCCACTGTCCTGTATGAGGACAATGCGGCACATGTTACACAAATGAGTAATGGCTACGTTAAAGGAAACCTTACAAAACACATTGCACTTAAATTCTTGTATCTACATGAACTCTATAAGAGTGGCAAAATTATTGTTCAGAAAGTTCGCTCATGTGACAATCTAGCAGATTTGTTCACCAAATCCTTGCCTACATCAACTTTTGAAAAATATGCTTAGAAGGTTATTACCTTCAGGAGGAGCAACAACATCTATATATTCTTGATCAATGTGTCCAGAAGCCCATCATAATCCAGAAGGTTAAGCCTTGAAGACATTTGATTGTATTCTTTTTATCTAAGTTAAGTTTTTCCCAATGAGTTTTCTTAATCTAAGATTTTTAATGAGACAACCAGTGTAACACATGATTATACATACATCATGTACTCTTTTCCTTGTCTAGATTTTTCTCACAAAGATAATATCCAAAGGGGAGTGTTATAACTATATGAGGTGCGTGGATGGCCATTATCTTAGCTTAGTGGTTAGTTAATTCCTATTATTTACAAATATATATACATTGTATGTACAGAGTTCAGTTGATTGAATGAATGAAAATTTCTCGTTGTGTTTTCCTCTCTAGTCTGAGTTCCAGTTTTATCTATTCCTTTTGTTCTATCATCATGTACTGCGTAATAGAGGTTCCAACCAATAGAAACGAGATCATCACTGAGGAACAATTGTGATAAGGAGGATCCTAATCTCCAACAATATTAGATATCATTGTCACATGATAAAAATGTTTTGATTTTACATTAGGAAAAAGGGTTAAAAAGTCAATTAGACTCTTAAACTTTCAAAAGTAACAATTAAATCTATAAACATGTTATTTTGAAATATTGAAACCTAGAAACCGGGTGACTTGTAATTACAGGTTACCTAGGGTTCCGGCAACCCTTCCAGGCTTCCACCATTTTCCAACAACAATCACCTACGATCAAAGAAGGCAACCAATTGGCCTGCCTCTCCGATGGCAACCAATTTGGTCACCTACTCCAAATGTGATTGGCGACCGTCCGGTCGCTGGTGATTATTGTCGTGGAATGGTGGAAGGGTCACCAGAACCCTAGGTAATCAATTGATTTCTAGGCTTCAATGCTTCAAAATAACGTGTTTAATTGCAAATGTTGAAAGTTAAAGACCTAATTGACTTTTTGAGTAAAGTTCAAAAGCTTATTTGACCTTTTTTCCCTTTAAATTACTACATTTTAAAGATCTAAATATCAATATATCATTGCTATAATGCATAACTTCTCTCAGAGGGACGATACGGAAATATCAATCCAATCGCTAGGTGAATAGCGAGTGGGACCGGCTGGATCAACCCGGCTTCCGTGGAAAATTCAGACTTTGTTTTTGATGCTGTGATTAGGGATGTCAATTTAGCCCTGAACCAATGGGCTGGCCCATTAAGCCCTAAAAATTGCAGGGCTAAAATCCAAAAAGATCAATCCAATAAGAAAGTAAGCTCATTGGGTTGGCCCTATTGGGTTATTGGATTGAGTTGGGCCAACTCATGGATTGTTGAGCTAGCCCATGTAATATTCAATGATTATTGGATGGACCATAGTCTATACAACTTGTGTGGACCATGAATATAAGGTACATTTTTAATATATTAATTGTACATTATTTGTATATTGAAGGTACATTATTTGATAGTATATATGAAATAATGTACTTTTATACACTACACATATTATATGTACACTACACACAGATTGTACACACACACACACACTATATATATATATATATATATATATATATATATATATATATATATATATATATATATATATATATATATATATATATACACACACACACACACAGACACACACTGTACACTGTACACTGTACACACAATATATATACTACACACTGTACACACAATATATATACCAGACACACTATATATATATATACACACACACTGTACACACAATATATATACTACACACACACTATATATATATACACACTGTACACACACACACTCTATATATATATATATATATATATATATATATATATATATATATATATATATAGTTATGAACCTACTCTATTTGTAATAAAAAATTTGTTTAGTGATTTAGCCCGTTGGATTAACCAACAACCCGTTGTTCAGGGTTAGGTCCAACCCAACTCAAAAAGAAAAAATAAAAAACCATTTTAGCCCAAGCCAACAAGTCCACCAACCCTGTAGGGCTAGTCCAAAACCCAACGGGTTCGCCCATTTGACATCCCTAGCTGTGATCACATAAAAACATAATGTGAACTTTTTCCACCCAAACAAAAATTAAAAAAATCCGTAAACCGCTAAATTGTAGCGAAAGAGTGAATAAAGAGACAACTGTATGAAAGAAGCAACACATCAATCAGAACACATCAAGTTCAAAGGAAAACAATGCAAAAGATGTTAATTTTGTCTTATTTACTTTCAATTTGACATACACGAAGGGAAAACATTATATATGTAAATCAATCCATGAACATATAGGCATTCATAATAAAAAGTATTCGTAATGATTTCAATTACGTGAATATGATACATATATAGAGATTTTTTTTTTACACATTCAATTCTGTGTATGCATGCACAATTGTAATCAAATTCACAAAGAATAGAGATGATAGGGGCTTCATTAGAAGTTTAAGTTGCACCAAGAGCAGTTTCTATCAAGTGGCAAATTATACTGGGTACCGCAGTCCACAATGCATTGTGGTTCAGGCATCAAATATGCACTGCAGTTTCATTTCAACACAATTACGATATCATTTTGATATAACTATAGTTTCACTTGACAATATACACTCAAATATGTGAAATTGTTATTCAGTTTCATTTTGTATACATTGTAGTTTCATTTCAACACAACTACAGTTTCATTTCAATTCAATTGTAGTTTCATTTGATAATATAATAAAAATAATACGTGAGACAGTATCAGTTTGGATACACTATAGTGTCTATCATTTTGGACCATGATCCACAGTATAATTGCTGCTATCAAGCTTGGGCTCCCTACCAAACAATTGATAATTAGGATTGGAGAAATCTATAAAACAATTGAAGCTTGCTAAAACAAAAATAGGAATACAAGCCAAGAAAATTAAGAAAATGTACACGATATGAAGTGAAAAAAAAAAAAAAAAAAAAAAAAAACCTTCTCATTTTTTCTTGTTTTTCTTTGTGACTTGAGGTTTCTTTTTTGCTTTCTTTGGTTGCTTGCCCCCTCCAGTTTTGCCCTTCTTTTGCTCACCCCCCTAAACAATAAACATGGATCCCAACAACTTAATTTTAACGCCAAAAAAAAAAAAAAAAAAAAAAAGAAGATTATTTCTTTAAATTAAAAAAAAAAATTCATTATGCATACTAATGATTTTTTAGCTTTTCGTTCTGTTTTTCCATTTGTTTCATCCTCAATGGCTTCATTTTGATTGCCTTCAGCAGTCTTTTTGGGCAAATTGTCAGCCTCCTCTTCCGAATCAAATGAAAATCCATCAAGAGTTCCTGAATGGAATATATTCAAGAGAGTAAACATCTTTTACACCTCAAAGAAAAAAGGAGATCTGAAGGAGAAATCAAACCTTCAACCATTGTTTCAGCTTCATAAACATTTGATTGTGGCGTCAAATGGATGAAGTCATTCATGATGGCTTCAATCTGGTGAAAAGACATGGAGGAATAGGTAATTTGAACACATCAACCAAAATGCCTTTTTTTTCTTCGTTTTTATCTTTCCAACCATTTTTATATACAATGCGACATGAAAGCAGAATGCCAGGACTCAAGATCAGAACAGCAAGTAAAGGTGAATTAAAGTTTCTTATTATGCTACACCTATGCCTAACTGCTGGTGCATAAAGGAGGTAGGGAAATTAGTACGCTTGAAGTAAGTCAAAGGTTATGGGTCAATCCATTACAAGCAATGTTATAAAATCTACCAATTTTAAAAGGGTGAATCAACGATTTGGTCCCTCAGTTATTAGCGACTTGTCAATGTAGCCCCTCAATCGCGTATTCATCGATTTGGTCCCCGAAAATAATTGTTTTTCGTCAGTTTAGTCCCTATGGCCGTATTCCGTCAAGACTCAGGCGAGAGCTCCGATTTGCCCTGGGCATTTTAGTCATTTCATGTATTCTTCTTCATTAACTCTGACCAAGCTTCGCTGGAGGGAGCTCCATCTCTTCTCTGCTTGCCGGATGGGTGCTCACTGCTCACTTAAGCTGAGGCCAATATATACACAACATCTTTCCCCTAAAAGGAAGCTACTGACACGGCTGTAACTCTAAGCTTCCTTCAATGGCGGCTTCAACGTACAGCATTTTCCGGCTCCCTCACATTCAACATTTCCTCCGCTCAACACAAGACTTCCCGTCCCACCCATCTTTCTTCCGCCATACTCACTCCCAATGCCCGTATCTACCCCTGCAAACCCCTTGTTTCTAGTTCCACTCCCTCACCATCTCACCGAATAGTCGCCCCTCATCCGCTGGAACGCCGCTGTTAGGCTCACTTTCGCCGGAAGATTCCCCATTTCTAATCCTAAACATAAAAAAACAAATAAAATGTAAAATCCACCCTCCATTTCAAATTTCAACCTTGTCCAAACAGATAAAAGAAATAGTGATTTCCTTTCTTTAATTCTTCTGGGGATGAGAGAGAGAGACGACAAAGAAGAAGGTGAAAGGAAACCTCTCTGTGCCTTTAGAGGGTTAATTCTCGACGAGCAGAAGAGATGGAGATCCCTCCGGCGAGCTTGAGCTTCTCCGGCGAAGCTTGGTCAAAGTTAATGAAGAAGAAGGCGTGAAATGACCAAAATGCCCAGGACAAATCGGAGCTCTCGCCTGAGTCTTGACGGAATACGGCCATAGGGACTAAATTGACGAAAAACAATTATTTTCGGGGACCAAATCGATGAATACGCGATTGAGGGGCTACATTGACAAATCGCTAATAACTGAGGGACCAAATCGTTGATTCACCCATTTTAAAATGAAGTATTATGTGTTCTTCCTTTTCAAGGTGCATGCCGGTATGGCTAGAGCAAATAAATCAACAATGCATAATCAACAAACACACCTTTGCTTCTGATTGACCAAAGCTTACCTACAGCAAGGGAGGAGTGTCAGATCATATACATAAATATATGTATTCATGCATGTATAGAAGACAAGTGGTCAATTTGGAAAAGTCAATGTACTAAATATGGTCAAATTGATAATTGAGAACTAAATGTGAAAATTCCACTATAGGTTTTGAACCAAAACTGGAACTAGTCCTATTTGGAAAAAAGGAAAATACAAAGATAAAGAGGTTTCTGTATTAAAGAAAACATATACCACACAGAATGTCCTGGAAGGAACTATTGTCGTTTTGTATATGGTTCCTGAAATTTCAAACCAGATTTCTAAAATCAGAAAAGCCATGAGTAATAAACCTTGTTGCTTTGCAGAGGAGGGCGTGAAGCATCTATAACTAGAACATATAATTACCACACTGAATCTCATCATACCACCTCAAGAAAGATATTGCTACTTCATGGTTCTACACGACATGCAAATCAAGAACTTTATCATCAGATATTAGAGAAACTTGTACATGCCTTTTAGATCCAAAAGCATTTCATTGCTTCCAGATGGATTATCTGAGATTACAACCCGCCCAACAGCGCCCACATCACCACTCAAATCTATGGAATCACCATCACACTCCACAAGTGCCTTTATGAACAAAAGGAAAAAAACGGTGTCAACAAGCATTAACATGTTAAATCATGGGATATTTGCAGATGACTACTAAGACATTCAATTATTATCAAGAAATATTGAAGTAACATCAAAGTAGCTAGGTCTAAAGGCACCAACATTGACGTCTTTTAGCTCATGCAGAAAGTGGGAGTTGGCTTTTAGAATGCAGGAGAAAGAAAACAAAGGAACACAGATTAATCAGTTAAGGCCTGCTCAGACTAACCTTTAACCTTTGCACTTTCTCAGGAAGTAACAAAGGGAGTCTTGAATATGAAACCTACACAAATAGATCAGAATTCAGAACAACGTTTGGCTAAGTTACTATCTCCAATATCAACCATAATTGCAATAAAAGTACTCTATATCTCACATGTGTTCCATTATGCTTCTCTGGAATATCTTCCTCTAGGACATCAGCATTAGCTTTATTCTCTGCATCTAAATGATAAAATAAATAAACAAGACTTTGGCTTAGAAAAGCTACAGTCTCTAGAAGCTCAATAAGTAAAATTACTTTTTTAAAATGTTAGGGTGACTACAGCCTTATAGGTTCATTCATCATATCCATTACTTAATAAGAATTATAGCAATGTCCAGAAAGGTCATTAATCGCTTCCTTACCCTCATTTGTAGTCTTTTCTACTTTCAGGTCATTAATCGCTTCCTTACCCTCATTTGTAGTCTTTTCTACTTTCTTCCTCTTTTTTGGCGTGTGGTTGTCTTTTTCAGATTGTTTTTTCGGAGATTTCATCTTCAAATCCTCGGTGGGGACAGGTTCTCCATCACTGTCAAGGAAATCTGGATCTTTTGTTCCTTCAGATTTCATCTCTTGAGCTTCATTATGTGCAATTAAGTCTTTATCAAGGATATGGCCCTTTCTTACAGGACTGGTATCAGGACAAGACATGGGGTCAGATGAGAGACTCCAGACTGAATGTTTAGGTTCCTGTAAAAGAACAGTCATCTTTGAGGAGTGCACTAAGATGGTTAAAACTTCAAATGCTGCTAGAAATCTTCCTAGAAAACTGTCATCATCTAGTTAGTTATGTAATGGTTCTGAACTTACCTTGGAACAAAACTAGGGTCCAATAAACTTTAGACAACAAAACCAATAAATCAACGATCATCATATATAAACTAGATTGTTTGTAGTTCATGGAGAGAAAGTTTTATCATTCCCCCATTGCAAGAAAATAGTCAATATCAGCAAACCAAAATCAGCCCTGTTCACAGTATCTACATTTTATATTCCGCAATCCAATAAGCTCAGCATATATAAATTCACAGACTGTAAGGATACATCATCAACAATGATAGGTGAAACTCCATCTATGTGACTACAAAGTTCACTAATACAAAGAACAATTGAGTATAATTGCAAAGCACTGCCTACCTCATGTGAAATAAGCTTCTCTGTAGCTTTTCTCTTAGCATCTTTTCCTGTACAATTAGAGAGTGCATTTATTGTCTTATTCTGCTTTAGCTAAAATAATACGTATTAACAAATTTTAGAAAGCATACCTTGATTTTCAGGTTGACTTTCTCTCTTCCTCTTTCCACCTGGTGTATGCTCCACTCTTGCCTTCTTAGCAGGAGACTTTTTTTTAGAAGGCGTGTAAACCAACGAGTCATTCCCATCCAAATTGTTTTTAGTCTCAACTGTATTGGATTTATCTTTGGAAAACAATTTCCCGAGACTCACTCCGTCCTCATCACTATCATTTGAAGGGGGCTCTGAATCCGACGATAATGATACAGGACTAGGTGCCTGTTTTAGCATTAAAATTCTCAATTACCATCAACAACATTAACATCACACTTCACTATATCCAAACCAAACATATGCATCTGCTCAATTCACAGAACCAAATAAATCATCAACCAAACTAATTGCATTGCATCAAAGAATATAAAATAGTCCAACTCTGGGTGCTATATAATTTGAGACTAGAGCGCATTTTTTACAGGCGCAAAACGAAAGGCAAATCGTTCATAATCCAACTGCATAAAATACAACTGAAGTTTGAAGTAAGCATACATAATACATTCAAATGCCATTATTAGTTCTGTAACAGATATTTCAGCTCTAGCAGAAAAGAAACCAAATTCTATGTGGAAAAGATTACAAGAGAAAATCAATACATTTACCTTGAAAGAACGAAGCCAATCTGGAGATTCTTCTCTTGAGGTACTCATTGTGAGCTTTGAGGAGAAAAATATAAATAAATTTAGCTAAGAATTTGTGTACGGGCGAGCATTTACGGTCGGTTGTTTAGAGTGAGAACTGAGATTGAGGGTAAATCCGAAGCAGCAAGAACGCGATAAGCTTATGAAGAAATTTCTCACAAAACCTTCATACCATAGCGATGTTTTAATTCGTCCGCTTGCTCCGATGAGAAAGAGAATAGTTTACAGGGTGCTTTTGCAGGTTAGGTGTTTTTTTTTCTTTTTTGGTGTTTGGGATACCAAAATGGACACTTTTCTTTGGACATAGTAGGGTATATTATACGAATAAATATACATAAATAAATACAAAACTTATCTATTATAAATACCCTAAATAATAAATAACTTTGCCATGTAATTAATAATTAATTAATTCTTAAAATTTTTCAGAATAAAAAATGTTTAATGTAAAATAATAATTTTTTTTTGAAAAATGCATCTCACATTTATCATGTCTACGTATATGTCAAAAGATTTAAAAAATAATTACATTACATTAAATAAATATATACCATTACGTAATATCATAAAAAGTTTAAAATCTAATCTAATTTAGACTATTAAAAAATATTATATGAATGCACACGATTTGTTCTCACGTTCTCACCTAGGTAAGTATTTTCATTGGAACTCTACTCTCTCTCTCTCTCTCTCTCTCTCTCTCTATATATATATATATATATAGTATGGTAATTATATTTATATAAGGATATCATGCGAAATCTATTTATAAATTGCTATTTCTCTATATTTTTCTATGTATGCATTATTCAATTTATATTAGCAATTTTATTATATACTAGTAGTTGCACCCGCGGTGCACGGCAATATGTATACATATTATAATATATAGTATAATTGTCAAAAATAATTGGATAGTCAACTATTTAAAATTTATTAGACATTATTGAATACTTCTTTGTATATGACATTTGTAGTCGTATTTTTAAATTTTACATTTTCATCACAAATAAGAATTTTTAATCCCTTAAGATTACTAACTCTTGACACTGCTACATACATTTGACCATGATTAAAAACCGGCCTCTTCAAAAACAAACTCACGTTGGATAGTGTCTGCCCCTGGCTTTTATTTATTGTCATTGCATATGACTACATCAGTGGAAATTGCTTTCTTTGGAACTTAAAAGGCAATCTTGGATCAGAAGGTGTTAAGGACATTCTTGGAATTAAGACCTTTGTACCAGCACTTGCCCCGCATAGTATTTGAGCTTCTAAAACATGATCTGCCAACTTTGAAATGATCATTCTTGTACCATTGCACAACTCCAATGAGTGATCAATATTCCTCAAAAGCATAACTGGTGAGCCAACTTTCAGAGTCAATGAGTGATTTGAAACCCCAGAACACCGTAATCCATTTAAAAATTCCGGAGTGTGCAGATCAGCAAGCATGTCAACATTTGAATCAGATTTACAAACCGAATCACAACTGAGATACGTTCTTCCTTCAGCATTATTATAGTCATTCATGTATTCATTTACTGCATCCACAATATCCAAAGTTGGTGCCAAAATAGCACGATCTTTTAGATATGTAATATCTCTGTGGCCACTGCGGAACATAGGGAATGTGCTATCAATAATTGTAGAAATATGATCCTCAACACACGTTAGCACAAATTCTTGAGGAATATTTATCTCACATTCTCCATGCAAAGAATCACCAATTGTTCCATCACCTATATTAGCAATCCACTTTGCAAATTCTTCAATCTCTTGAACTTCAGTATCTTATTGCAATGACCTAAGCCTGAGATTCTTTGTTAGCCTAAATACTTTACAGCTTCTCCAAAGATATGATGCATTTATACTTGCTCCCACAATATCTTGCCTCGTGCCCTTTGGAATGACTGGTAAAATCTGTCTGAGATCTCCCCCTAACACCACGGTTTTTCCACCAAAAGTCATATCCAAGCTTTTTGGATTTTTGGCACGCATGATATCTCTCATAGTACGGTCCAAAGCTTCAAAGAAAAATTTATGCATCATGGTGCCTCATCCCAAATGATCAACTTACTTTGCATGATCAACTGTGCCAAAGGACTACTTTGGCTGATATTGCAAGTTGAATATTCATGAACAGCTATTGGTATTGCAAATCTCGAATGTGCAGTTCTTTCTCCTGGTAGTAGAAGAAAAGCTATGCCACTTGATGCAACGTTTAAAACTATCTCATCCTTTGACCTTAAAGCAGAAGACAATACTCTCCACAAGAATGTTTTTCCCGTTCCACCGTATCCATAAACAAAAAAAAAAAAGGCCTCCCACATTATTCTCAGCATCTTGCAATACATTGTCATATATAGCCCTTTGCTCTTCAGTGAGTTGTTGCACCAAAGTATCATTCTCTTCCCTCATGACATTAATATCATATGCTAATTCCTCTTGTATCAACCGATTGGTGGTTCTAGCATGATTCTCAAAATCCGGTTCTGACATCGACTGAAAGTCTTTCAAACTCTTTCCCATAGCCGAAAGCATTATTTCTATCTCCCTAAGTGCAAAATTCTTTTTCTCATCTTCAGATAAAATCAAATCTGTGATAGTATTATTACTCGCATATTATAAACTTGTGTATAAAAATATATTGTACAACATGAAACTACAAAAACAAAATATTACCTGTAATTCCCAATTGTTCTCTAATCCCGAATTGTGCATCCTCAGACAAATAGTTCCACGCAGCTTCCCAGACAACTTATGGTTTTGCCATTGAGTTTGACATTAAGAGAGTGGCAAAAAATCTTCTCAAATTTACACATGTCGCCCATTGACTTGCTTCTTCTATAGCATGAACATATTCGTTGTCGTCATCTACTAATCCTCTTGCAGAACACGCATCCCTAAAAGATTCGTATTGCACACCATCTACTTTTTTTTTATATCCAAATAACTTGTGGACCCTTTCACTTTATTCAAAAGACATCTCAAATAAAATATCTCACCTGTACCAGGTGGCACATAGAAAACTCTACCTATTGCAAATCCTCTTTTCCTTGGTTGCCATTTCCTAACATCTTTCTTCCATACAAATTTAGTTGGCATTTCAGCATATGTCAGTTATCTGGCAGCAGGGTAGGTTTTATTTGCCTCAAACCATTCTAAGGTTTTATTTGCCTCAAACCATTCTTAGAACATGCTTTGTAAGATTCTTGGACGGCTTAGTATGTTATCAACTAGATCATCATCTGCGAATACGACACTTTCTTGATTTGGCAAGTGAAATCTTAATTGCTCAACCGATGGTGTCCTTAACTGTATATCAAATCCAAATAATCGCCAAGATGCTTCACACGGTGAAATGTACCGACAATCATAGAACATACTTATTTCATCAATAACTTTCAGACAATCTTCCTCGCTGTTGGTTTTGTAAAACTCTGTTGTTACCCTATCATGCCCCTTGTTGACGTACTTATACTTGATTGGACGGGACTGATTACACCATTCCACATTAATATGAGCCCTATACTTTAGCAACAAATGTCTATTGTGTGGTACTACGTACCTATTATCCAACTGAATACCATTGCGCATGACAGAACGACCATTGTCTCGTCTGCGATATATAGGATAACCATCCCCGTCCACAGTTGATAAATTAACAAACTTCTTGGGAAAGTGTTTAGTACATTTACCATTCGCCATACATGGAGAAGCCAACCGTGCTCTCCCGCAAGGACCATGCATCATAAACTCCTCAACAACTTTGAAGTATTCTGGATCTGTTTCTTGATCAGATAACTCAGCTGAAATAATGTTTTCCAGATTTATCCCACTTTGTGCTTGATTTTTTTTTTTATCCAGAAACAAAAGTATATGAGCATGCTGTAGACCTCTTTTTTGAAACTCTATGGTATAGATCACTGTTAACATTGAAAAAGATAACAAATTTTAGAATAGAACTAAATCTCTTGACATTTATATGGTTTAAAAACTGCATCATTAAAATAGTAGCTTATTTTTCACGTACCTCCCATGACTGGCCCAAATAACTTGTTCTTCTAACATTCTGATAGTAGGGCGTCCAACTTCAGTTTGAATATTCTACATATTATGTCAGGACGATCTTCTGGCTTTAATTTTCTATCATTCAAGAAGCGTTGTACCTCAGGCCACTTGGGGTTGCAGGTGAATGTGATGAACAAATCTGGATATCCAACCCATCGACAGACCACTATGGCGTCCTGGTAATTTTGTATCATGTATCTAGCACCACCCGTAAAACTCGAAGGCAATATTATTCTTTTTCCTTGAGTAGTGGGGTCAAGTTCACCTCATGTTAATGCATCATTCAAGAAATTATATGATTCACACCTCAAACTTTTCTGATGTGTCCTTATATATATTAACCTTCCGGACTCAACCATTGTATAGGCATCAACCAGAAATTGTTGAATAGCCTTTTTGCATGCAATAAAGTTGATATTTCCGAGATTCTAGATTGGATACGGTATGAAAAATATTCTCTAGGGCTTATCCTTTGACGTCCATTAGCTGTGTTTCCTCTTAATGTTGAGAAGGGAATGTCCTCCCTATAACCGTCTTCACCATAAGGAAACAATAAAGGGTACTGCATTAGCAAGTAAGCAGGATTTAATTCAGTAATTCTTTACAATAGACCGCTCTTTGTTTCCACCAAAATGTCGCGTTCTCCAATATTGGTATCGATATCACCAACAATCAACGCAACAACTTTTGAAACCTGTGGCAAATTGTATGTTCTCGCATCCTTTGATCTCTTGCCAAGCAATTTTATCTTAACCTCGGCCAGTGGATTCTTTTGTAGTTCATCTCGTATCATGCAAAATGTTTTTACCAACACATTCTTGTCATCCAAAACTTGTTGAATAGCATTAACAATTTCCACATGGATGTCATTTTGCTGACCATCTTGCCTAAAAATTGAAAGGGTCAATAATAAGAATTTTAATCAAAGAACACTTTAGAAATTGCATTAAATTTAAAAATAAAAGGCCACACACTTACCTTACAGAATTGACACGATTGCCTAATTCATTATTGGTATCATAGATATACAGCTGTGCGAAATGTGGTTTTTTACCGTCTACCGGCAAGAAACTACCAATGTAATGGAAGTTTTGGCCATTTATACGGAAAATTGGTGGACCACCGATTCTGTTCACGGTTCGGTCTATTTTACTACCCATAGACGTGAAGCAGAACATACTATTGTATGTTCTAATGTTGTGCAGAAATTGCTTGGTTTTTTCTCCTTCTCCAAAAAAAAAAGATCATATATCACTTGTGGTGGCATCATCATTTGTGGCAATTGAACCTTACCATTGTTGCAACACAAGTTATATTTTTGGGGGCCGTGATTATCTGTTTTGTGTGTCCTTTCTTCGTACCAAAAAAGCGCTCCACAGTGTTGACATGTTATAGTTGCATCACCAAGATCTTTGTATTCCACTAAGTTGATAATTCAAAACCAATTATTTTCATTATAACATATGAATTAGAAGAACGAATAATATTATACATACCAGTATTGTAAGCAGTCGTTTCTGAAACTTGAGACGTATTTGCTTGTTCATCACCTGATTGGTTAAAATTTGAAATTCCGACTGTCGACTGCATTAGTAATGTAACTTGGTTTGTGCACGATGTCTCGTTGCATTTTTTTGTACCTACCATGTACATAAATCATCTTATCAATAACGATTTTCACAATTAGTTAAAAAATTGAAATGACATTGTAATTTGTAAAAAAATAATTACTTACCATTTGCACTTTCTTGGATATGTTGTTGTGTAATTGGTGAGAATCCTACGTAGAATATATTATATTAGTTTCCCAAAAATAATAATCCGCTTCGTCGTAAGAACTAAATATGACTGAAACAAAGAATTACCCCATTAAATATTTGGAAAATACTATAATTTAATATTAAACGTACTAAAATTGTCTTGAACGGTTTTTGAAATTAGATCCATATTGGAAACTTCTTCAAAATCTTGAAACAAATCTCAGTTGACAACATTACACTGGATAACAGCTTTACCCTTATCCTGCATGTCCTTTTGTTGCACTTTGTGTTACCTAATTAATTTATAGTTTACAACTTAGCTGGCATAAAAAAATACATTTATTAAGCAACTAAACTAATATAAAGAATACTTACCATTGGATATATCCTGTAGAGGTGGTCGTGGGCTGTCGTAGCCGAGGAGATGAGGGGCTGTATGGTGTCAATACAACTACCGAGAAGTGCACTGACAATGATTTGGTCTTGAAGATACCAAATTAGATGGGCCGGGTTAACGGCAGTTTGAGCAGTATCAGTGAATTTGGCGGGTTCCGTGGTGGTACCATCGATGTAACCCAGAAGATTAAACCCAATAAGTGTGGAGTGGACTTGACGTCTCCACACTGGGAAATTCGTGGTATTGAGTTTAACGTGAAAGTTTGTAGGGGCATTTAGTTGGATTATATCGTTTGTGGCTGTAGTAGTGGAAGCCATGTGGGTAGAGAAAAAAAACTTCGTAGGAGATTCAAGGCTCTTGATACCATGTAAAGATTATAAACTATACTTTATTGATGTAAACTAATGAGCTATAAATAGTGTACAAGAGAGGGAGAATAGTAGGAGGTTGTAACAACTTGTTCAACACACCTATTCTACAGGAACATAACTACCACAAATATAAAGAGATAAAATGTCAGTCACACATATCCTTAACAGTAGGTACCTTTTATATAACATATGTAACATTTTTAATGACTACTGTTTCAAATTTGTAACTGGAATAAAAACAATTAAGTAATTCCCCAATTACTAAAAACTAACCATTAAGTATATCGCTTGTTACACTGGAAGAAAATGACTTTCGTCTTCCTAACACAAAATGCCTTGATTTACTGTTGCTTGTCGTATATTCCATGCTTTATGTACTAATTTGTATATTTAAAGATTCTTTATTAACTGAAAAGACATAACATTTTTGTAATATGTTATAACCTGTTAATAAAAGGAAATGACATTTTACTAAATTTGAATTTGGTAACATTAAATGGTTTACCTGTTGTAAGAGCACTTTTTGGTCTATCATTTGAATTAGAGTATGGTTGTGGTGTGTATTCCATTTGTGTATTATTAGTATTCTATTTTAGAATGGTATTGTGGTTCTCTACATTTTCTGCGCACAAAAAAAAAATTGTCAGAAATGATAGATGAATTAAAATCGTGATTACATTAACAATGGTCCACACAATACCGTGTAACATAAATAAAAATGCAATGTTGAAAGGGTAACATATTTAAACCCTGAATGTAAATAATGTACATTTATTAGTAATTTAAAATGTATTTGATATTCACGGTCCACACAATTGTGTGGATCATGATGCACACAATAATTCAACATGAAATTCACCATTTGAATGCATTAGCCAATCTTTTTAAAAGATTTGAATTATTTTTGCAGGTTAGGTTGCAAACAACCCCAATTCATATAAAACTAAAATATTAAAATTCCTATATATGTTTAGCCCAAACTATGGTCCAGAATTTAGCCCAAACCCGACCCAAGAGAGAGATAAGAAATGTCGAGAACGAAATGTTCTCGACATTTCTGATCTGCTATCTCTCTCTGTCTATTGTTCTCTAAGTCTATTCTCTGTCTACTGCTCTCTAAGTCTACTCTCTGTCTACCTTCCACTCATACTAGCGTTATCGTCCTCCTCATTCTTCTTTAGATTATATAATAATCTAAGTTGGTTTGCTTTCGTTGTCGAAATCGCGATTAGAACGATTCTTAATTAGTAAGGTTTCCAGATCTGGAAACATAGAACCCTAATATACAACTCTCGATCTACGTTCATTCCTTTGCTATGTTTCGTCTTCTTTTTTTTTTTTAGATGTAGCTAGTTCTCATCAAGGAGAAATCTGAGTGGATCAACCATCATCTGCAAATCAGTGAAAACTAAGGTAATAATTTCATTAGCCGTTTTCTAGGGTTTTCTTAATTTGTTTGAAATTCATGTATTTTGTTTTGAGATTTCGAAATCCATGTATAATAAC